TAGGGGTCAACAGCAGGGCTCGGTCGCGCTTTGCCTGCTGGGAAAGGGGCGGGGCTTGAGCTGTGAGGCGGAGTAAGGACTTTATAAGGCGAGAGACCTCAGTGAGGCAGGTTTGATGAGAGAAAACTACAAATAGCGTTAATTATGCCCCTTGAGGAAGCCAGCTAGAGTAGTAAGGTATTGTTGCTGATTTTTTCTCTGTCTTTTTATTGAATTCTAGACCGGATCCTTCATATGAATTTTTATTTAAAGTATGGGTTTTGTGTTCATAAAAAACACTTCCGAAGAGTGTGTATAAGATATTTGAAAGATGGATGTCAAGACTAAAATAGGAAATGCAAGAGAAATGCTAGATGAAAGAAGTGCATTTGTTTTTTGTGTATTTATTTATTTATTTTTGCCTGTAATTGTGACTGGCATTTTTTCTGTATTCCAATGTATTCGTGTCAGGCCACTCATTTGCCATGCTTCTGCTGGACTTTATTATTTTATGCTAATTTTCTATGCCTTGCACTCCAAATTTATGGCCTGCTACGTTTTCCCATCAGCTTGGATGGGATTCCGTTTTCCCCCCCTAATTCCTCCTGAGTCGAATCAATTTACAAAGCACGTCCCAGGACATCATAAAAACATTTTATAGTTAAAAACAAAAGAAAAAAGTTGGTCTTATAAAATATATATAACTGGGACACAATTAAGGAGAAAGGTCCTGGGAGTGAAGTTGGATTTTTTTTTTAGTATTGTGAGATGGCAGGGAGTGATTGGATGAAGAAGTTACAGGTAAATCAGACGGTTAGATAGCTTAGAGTTCTCCAGACATTTGCTTTGCCTGGATTTTGGAAATATTATTAGTAACATTGTCACATGCGTGACGATATCTGTTCAGATTAAAGATATATTTGGAAAAACATAATATTTATATATATAGAGAGAGAGAGAGAGAAAGAAACAGAGAGAATACACACTCAGACACCCACACATGCTATATAGATGATGTAGACTGTATATGTACAGATACATATATACACACATAATGCATATTGCGCCCTCTTTCTTTCTCGCCCTCGCTCTTCTCCCCTCCCCACTCCTGACACTGGCCGCGCGCAGCGTCTCCATCCACGCCTCCCCCCTTTTTTTTCAACTCCACCAATACGATCCGTCTTTTCTAGCTGTTCTTGATCATGAGAGGGTAAAGTCCCGCCCACAAAGAAAAAAAGAAAAGAGAGCCCCTCCCTCCCCCGGCTTCCGCCCCTTCTTCGCGGCTCTGTGGGGAAGATCAAAAGCAGAGGGGTGGGGTTTTAGGAGAAATGTAAATCCTCGCGGCTTGCCAGCCAATGGGGATCTCTCAGCCCTTGGCTCCGCCCTTCACCTTTTTTTTCCTTTTGGCTAGTGAGACCCCGCGAGACTCTCTCACCTCACGCAACCTTCACCTACATATTTCGTTTGAGGGAAGGGGGGGCAAAAAGGGGCGGTTCGCTCTGGATTGGTTGGTTCCGCCCCGATTTAAATATCTCCGACCAATGAAATCTCACGGCTCCCGTAAAGAGACCAATAGGAGATCGGAAGTGCTTTATTAAATGTCACACACGCTCCACATAGGAAAATAAAATAGAAGTTAAAGTTACAATTACTGCGCAGTTAAAACGGCAGAACCTGCCTGTCAATAAAACTACCAATCTCTATGATCTTTGTCTGCTTGATGGGCTGGGTGAGGCGGGGCAAGAGCAATTGGCGGCTGCCTTAAAATAGACAACCATAATGACCAATGAGACGGGAATATCCAATGTAGAGGCAGGTCTTTCAGGAAATCTTCTCCTATCGGGATTAGAGATCTAAGTAAAGGGCGGGACGACATCTTGATGAACAGTGAAGGGAGCCAATCAGCACTATAAGAGGCGGGTGAGGCGAGGACACTGGGAAAGGCGGTGTTAGGGGTCAACAGCAGGGCTCGGTCGCGCTTTGCCTGCTGGGAAAGGGGCGGGGCTTGAGCTGTGAGGCGGAGTAAGGACTTTATAAGGCGAGAGACCTCAGTGAGGCAGGTTTGATGAGAGAAAGCTACAAATAGCGTTAATTATGCCCTTTGAGGAAGCCAGCTAGAGTAGTAAGGTATTGTTGCTGATTTTTTCTCTGTCTTTTTATTGAATTCTAGACCGGATCCTTCATATGAATTTTTATTTAAAGTATGGGTTTTGTGTTCATAAAGAACACTTCCGAAGAGTGTGTATAAGATATTTGAAAGATGGATGTCAAGACTAAAATAGGAAATGCAAGAGAAATGCTAGATGAAAGAAGTGCATTTGTTTTTTGTGTATTTATTTATTTATTTTTGCCTGTAATTGTGACTGGCATTTTTTCTGTATTCCAATGTATTCGTGTCAGGCCACTCATTTGCCATGCTTCTGCTGGACTTTATTATTTTATGCTAATTTTCTATGCCTTGCACTCCAAATTTATGGCCTGCTACGTTTTCCCATCAGCTTGGATGGGATTCCGTTTCCCCCCCCCCCATTCCTCCTGAGTCAAATCAGTTTACAAAGCACGTCCCAGGACATCATAAAAACATTTTATAGTTAAAAACAAAA